TTTTTTTTGCTGTTCTTAATAGTTATTTTTTATTGTAAAGATACTGTACAGAGAGGTTACAGTTACATAGCAATGTAATGAGTCCATTTCCTATTGAGCATCATTATACCCTCCTTTATTTTTCCCCTACCATCCCTTTCCAACTCCTTCCTCCCCTCCCCCCTGCCTTTTAAATTTTTGAGATAGGATAAGTTGCTCAGGCTTGGCTCAAACATGTTATCCTCTTGCCTTCAACCCCAGAATAGCTAGGATTACAGGCAGGTACCACAGCCCCCAACTCAAATAGATGCTATTTTAATAAACATTTCAAAAGCTCATACAACTTGATTCAGAAGTACTCTGCCAACAGGGTATCTGGGGTGCTGTTGCCTTAACAACACTAACCCATTCTCAGGAGGCAGCTCTATTAACGAGTCCTACTACTCTATTCCTTAGAGAGGTTTTAGCAGGAATATTATTTTCCCCAAATTCCTCTTCACTAGGGTGGTGAGTCCTCAAGAGAAACTAAAGTCTCAATCAGGAATAGGATTAAGAGAGCTAAAAAACTCGATCACCTGTTTTTACAGATAAGAATGCAGACAACACAACCTTCAGCAGTGGTTTTTTTTTTTTTTTTTAAATACATGCAGCATATTTAGAACTCAGCTGTGTCACATCAGACTTACTGTTGGGAAGTGGATCATGAACAGAATCCAAAAATAACAGCCATTAAAGACCTAGCAACCAAAACATGTTTACGTATCCATTGAAAGCCTGGCGGTTTTGATTATATAGTAGAGGGCATAATCTACTAGTCTATTTTAGGTGAATTTTCCTTTTACCTTCCCTCAATACTAAACTGTAGGATGATTTCTGAACTTAGGGGTAGATAGGGTAAAGTCTGTGCTTTTTTTTCTCCTTCTCCCTCTTTTCCTCCCTTCCTTCCTCTTTCTTTTCCTTCCTTCCTTTCTTTCTCTCCCTCCCTCCTCCTCCCTTCCCTCCCTCTTCTTTCCTTCCTTTCTTTCTTTCCTCCTGTACTATATAGCTCAGACTGGCTTTGAACTAACACTTCTCCTGCTTCAGCTAGCTGAGTGCTAGGATTATAGTCCTCCACCACCCAACTAAACTACTGCTTTTTTATTTTTATTTTCTTTTGGTCCGGTCGTGGGGCCTGAACTCTGGGCCTGGGCGCTGTCCCTCAGCTCTTCGGCTCAAGGCTAACGCTCTACCACTTGAGCCACAGCGCCACTTCCGGCTTTTTTCTTTATGTGGTGCTGAGGAATCGAACCCAGGGCTTCAGGCATGCAAGGCAAGCACTCTACCACTGAGCCACCTTCCCAGCTCCTAAACTACTGCTTTCTAAGACTTCCCTAATAGGAGGGTTTTGTTTTGTTTTTGTTTTTTGTCAGTTGTAGGGCTTGAACTCTGGGCTTGGGTACTGTCTCTGTGCTTTTCAGCTCAAGGTGAGCACTCTACCGCTGAGCCACAGCGCCACTTCCAGTTTTCTAGTGGTTTATTTGAGATAGAGTCTCATGGAGTTTCCTGCCCAGGCTGGCTTTGAACCATGAGCGATCCTCAGATCTCAGCCTCCTGAGTAGCTAGGATTACAGGTGTGAGCCACCAGCGCCTGGCTTAGTAGGAGGTTTTAAATAATGCCTTCCAAAAATTATCTTAGTCCTTATTATCTCTCCTGGGACTTACATAGCCTCTTTAGCATTCTATTTTCTGGAAGAAAAAAAAAAACAACGGAGTCAATGACAAATAGGTTACAAATAACTTGAATACCTCAAAGTGATTTCAGAATTAATCTATTCTCAAGGTATATAAGAAAGTTGATGACAATTCAAGAGCAGTTAAATGTTACCAAATTATCTTCTCTACAAGATTTTCACTATTTCATATAACATAAAGCAGTCACAGTACATCTTGTAAAATTCCATTCTATAGTTACTTGTTACCAGATAGTACAAGAAATTTGTAAGGAAACTAAATATAACTTCAGAACAATACTCTTACCTGATCATAGTTCTTACATGCAAAAGAGGTAAAGGAATGAAGCATGTTGTACCTTTCTAATTTCTTCTATGGAATGAGTAACCTGAGCTCAAAAGAAGTTAGCAAGTTTTACACTTACTTTCCCACTGAGGTGAAAGAAGTTTTCAGAACCTAAGCCAGAAGTTATAATAAATCCTAACAGCCAAAAACTAACACACAGTTCATAAATGAGAGAGGAAAAAAAGTGGAGGAAGGAAAAGGCTTATGTTAAACAAAACTCAATAATACAGGGAAGACAAAAAGACAAGACAAAAAGTCCCTATAGTAATCAATAAATAGATAAGTAAGCTTAAAACTTAAAATTTAAATAAATTTACATTTTTAAAAGGCTGCAAGATTTTCTATTTATATCTTTCTTCCTCAGTGAACTTAAGAGACACTTTCCCTCCCTCCTTCTCCCTCTCCCTCTCTCTCTTCTCTCTCTATCTCTCTCTCTCTGCTGGTCCTGGGATTTGAACTCAGTGCCTGGGAACTGTCCCTGAGCCTCTTTGTGCTTAAGGCTAACATTCTACCACTTGAGCCACAGTGCTACTTTTGGCTTTTTCCGAGTAGTTTATTGGAGATAAGAGTCTCACCGAGTTTCTTGTCCTGCTGGCTTTGAACTGCGATCCTCAGAACTCAGCCTCCTGAGTAGCTAGGATTACAGGCATGAGTCACCAATGCCCGGCCTACTTTTGATGATCATTTTTGCTCATCACAGGCAATCTACCACTTAAGTTACACTTCCAGCCCAGCTCTTCTTTTCTCCTGGTTAAATGGAGATAAGAATCACAGACTTTTCTGCCCAAGCTGGTTTCAAACCTCAATCCTTAGATTTTAGATTTCAAGTAGCTAGGATTACCAAGCCCAGTTTACATATGTATTTTGTGTATGTGTGTGTACCAGTCCTGGGACTTCAACTCAGGCCCTGGGCACTGTCCCTGAGTTTTTGTGCTCAAGGCTATCATTCTACCACTTGAGCTACAACTCCACTGCTAGCTTTTTGCTGGTTACTTGGAGATAAGATTCTCACAGACTTTCCTGCTTGGTTTGTTTTAAATGGTAATCCTCAATTCTCAGCTTCCTGAGTAGGATTACAGGCATGAGCCACTAGTGCCCAGCTATATATGTATTTTAATAAAGCAAAAGCCTGTGCCTGTCAATCCAACTGAGATTGGAAGGACAGCAGTTTCAGGCCAGACTGTATAAAAAAGTTTACAAGATTCCATCTCAACAGAAAAAAGCTGGGTGTGGTAGTATCCACCTGTCATCCCAGCTACAGTAGGAAGCATAAATAGGAGGATCTCATTCCTTACTTCAAAAATAACTAGAGTAAAAAGGGCAAGAGGCATAGGTCAAGCAGTTTATCTAGTACAAAAAGCCTTGAGTTCAAACTGTAGTACCAAAAATAAAAGTGAAATGTATCTGATTTTACACACACACACACACACACACACCATATGGAGAAATATAAGCAGTCAATAATAAAGTTGAGGGTAAATATACCCTCTGATGTGCAATATTGCAGAGTACAATAGCTTTGTTAATATCTTATCTGAAAATTTTAATATTTATTGAAATTTACAATTACCTTCTATTCATACCTTGATACTACTACCACTATAACTATCTCTCAAATTTCAATTCTTAGAAATCTCTAGAACTTAGCTCTTTTTTTTTGCCTAAGTATTTACAATGTTTAATAGAAGCAGTCTGCAATCTCACATACCACCAGTAAGTGTCACTGGACAGTCACATGACATAGTCCTAGCTGATCAGTCATCCAAAATGAATTACTAAAAGCAAACTTAAAAAAAATTTTTTTTTAATCCTCTGTAGAATATACCAATAGGAAAATGTTCAGGAGTTAAAACTTAACAAAACATAAAATGAAAAAAAGACCAAGTTCAGGGCTGGGAAGGTAGCTCAGTGGTAGAGTGCTTGCCTCACATGCATGAGGCCCTGGGTTCAATTCCTCAGCACCACATAAGCAGAAAAAACCAGAAGTGGTGCTATGGCTCAAGTGGCAGAGCGTTAGCCTTGAGCTAAAGAGCTGAGGGACAGTGCCCAGGCCCAGAGTTCAGGCCCCAAAACTGACAAAAAAAAAGACAAGTTCAACAAAATAATTTTATTAAAAATCATGTAATGAGAAGCCAGTTGGTGGCTCATGCTTGTAATCCTAGCTACTTAAGAGGCTGAGATCTGAGGACTGTGGTTTGAAGCTAGCCTGGGCAGGGAAGTCAGACGCTTATCTCCAAGTGGTAGTGTGCTAGTCTTGAGCAAAAAAGCTCAGGACAATACCCCGGTCCTGAGTTCAAGCTCCAGGACTGACACATACACATACATACAAAGCATATAATAGGAAATACCAGATAAAATGCACACATGTACCAACAACTGTGTGTCAATTGACACAAGGTAAGGCATTTCTATGGCATCAGTCAGGGGAAATACCTAGATAGCATGATGAGATCTCATGTTCTATGCTGAATTTGTCTTTCCTAGTCACCTGTTTTAGTTATTAAAACTGATTCTCTGGATCAACAGTAAAAAGAATAAAAAATTAAAAAAATATTGCAAACATTCTGAAACTGGGGTTTACAAATAAATGGGTACATTCTTAGTTGCTTCTTCAAGTATGTTAAACAGACTTTTATATCCCTGAAGGTTGAGAAGATATTTCTAAACTTGCTTTGTATTTAGATGGATAACTGCAGAAAGGAGGAGAAAGCAACATGTATTCTTTAACTCTGCGTGTTGGAAAACAAACACCAGTAGAATAACAATATGGAAGAGAGCAAGGCAGATTTCATTACGGGAGAGTGCCTACACTTCCTCATAACTTGGATTTACACACTGCAAATCCTCTGATCTGATTACCTCCAGTGATCACGTAAAATACCGGCTTTAAACTCTTTGCCTTAGTGATAAAACAGCCACTTTGATTCACAACGAGACATTCACAATAAAGTATATTGTAAACGTACCTGTCCACAGCCTGGGGCATTGCACACAAACGGTCTGTCGTCTCCCATATTTCATATAGCAGAGCGGAGCTGAGGAGGGGGGAGGTAGGGGAAAAGTTATGTTAAATACAGTGGAGCAAAAAAAAAATGTGCTTCAAAAATATCAAGCCTAGAAACAGGTGTTTCAAGAATGCCATCTATCAAAGCTGTGTTTATCACAGGCTACTTTGGGGAGACCCATTAGACAGGTGGCATATGACCTACTGTGTCACAATTTTAACTTTTAATTAGAAAAACTTAGACTTAAAATAGTTCACAAATTTCAACTCTTTGCTAGATTTTTGCCTTTCTGCTACCAGTATATAACACACTTCTCCACTCTGCTGAATTACAACCAGTGCAGTTCTCTATGTCAATAAATCCTCAGAACGCTCGATGTGGAAGCCATATTTCTGAACTAGAGAAGACCAAAATTTGTCATTTAATTAATTAAGGGATTATAGGAGGGGTGCTCCATTTTACAGGGCTATAATCTGGCTCCCTGGTGTATAAACTACGAGACTGTTGGCAAGGGTCATTTATCCCAGATTATTGCCAAAGAAAACAAAGCACCCATCCTATTGGGCTACAAGGGAAATGATTTTCATTAATAAAAAAATAAAAATAAAAACCTTCTCTCCCCACTGGGAGCCTCCTCCACACCCCCCACCCCAATTGTCTGTGGCAAATGGAGAAATATTGGTGCCCCCCCACCCTGATTATATTTATGGCTAGGTTTTTAAAAGCAGCAATAAAACAAATGTCGACTCTTTGGGGGTTTACTGGGTGAATATGTTCCGGTTGTTTGTGTTGCTCTCGGCCGGCCAGAGTTCTTGGGCTGCTCTGTGCAGCCAACAGATGTGTGCTGCTGCAGGGGATGAAAGAAATGGCACTTAAAGGCACCACCATCTAGCCCCTCCATTTCTCAGCATTTATGCTGTTTTTGTTTTTGTTTTAATTACTGAAGCTAAACTCTTGAAATGCTGATCAATATTCTTTGTAAAAAACAATTCCAATTTGAACATGTGGGGAAATGTCTCCTATTCCAACTAGAAATAAAAATGATGAAGGATTAGAAATGCAAATTACAGTAAAAAATTCTTAAACAATAAACAGTACTTTGAAAAGGTAGAAGAGGAAAATGGGGGTAGGGAGAAAAGCAGTCTTAAAGATATGCCTAAAGGACATTTACAAATATTCTTTAAAAAAAGAAGATAAAAGCATACAAAAGGTGACCAAGAGGAGAATATGATGAGTTCAGACAAGGGAAGATGAGAGGAACAATCATTTGAAAATGTCTGGAAATGACTCCAGAACTATAACCAAATTTCAAATTTTATCTTGGAGATAAACTGAAATGTCAGGTCAATCTCAGTCAGGTCGTCATAAAATAAAATGTTAACATGCTGGAATAAATCTGGTAACTGGAAAGCCAGGCTTAAAAGCAGAGAGTAGCTAGGTAACATCTCTCCTACTCTCCTAGGGCTCACTCGGGTTAGAAACCAATATTTCTGGTTGTCTAATCAGTAATTCCACAACTAATCGGTGTTTAAAATTGTGGGGTGCCCTATAAAATAGAAGGGGCTTTGTGGTCATCTTTCAATGTGATAGGAACATGGTCTAACTATGAAGAAAACTAATGCTACAGCATTGCTGTAATGGAAGAGACCCGGTATGTACATACGTGTACACAGATTTATATCACATTTAGCCAGGATAAATTGCTTCAATAAATTCTGTTCCTAGGAGAGCCCAACTCAAGCTGATGATTGGGTACTGGGAAATGAGAGCTTCATTCTTCCTCACACAGCCCCAGGACAAGGAGGTTTTCTGGTTTGTTTGCTTGTTTGTTTTAAATACACAATGTGTTTTAGTGCTTTTTGGAAGCACAGCATAGCACAAAAAATAAATATGAGTAAATAAAAGCAAATAAATATAAAGACCAAGGCCATTATGGCTGAAAATTCAGATCATCTTTGCAAGGCAATTCATCTCTGGAAAAATTCCTAACTGCTATGCTAGAGATTATTTCACTTCCTAGTCCAAAACTTGTATTCCTAACATAATCACAAAATGAGAATTTTATTTCAAAAAGATTCTTAGGCATATTTTGAACCAGGAAGTAAACTTGCAAGGGTAGAAGTACACATTACATAAGAACCAGGTAGAATTCCTCCCTTTTATCTTGGTTCTACTATCTGAGGTTAAATTTTCTCATTTTTCTACTGATTTACAGGAAGAAAAGGGTCCCGGCTGAAAAAAAGAGAGGTTGAGGGAAAAGTATTAGGACTGGCGTATGGAGTAATTAAATAAATTCTGGAACCGTTTCCTCCAACCACAAAATTCAAATATTAATGTGTCTTTGCACAATCACATCACAATACATGGCTTTCAAATTTTATTTAATGGAATTCTTACTAGAAACTTGAGATGAAAAGTCATGTCTTTCTAAAGGAAAAAAATAAAACTGGGAGAAAAAAGCATTAAAATCTAACTGATAGCCCACTAACTAGGATTTCCTGCTTCCTTCCCAATTTGCTGGCCTTTGTTTTACCATTTTCACCAAAGGGGATCACAATGGGAGGAAGAAGGCAATCTTTCTTCAGTGCTACAGTTATTCTTAAATTATCCCCTCATTTGCTTGTCCCTTGTTATTTCTACCATTCAAAAAAAAATTAAATATATAACAACAAAAACGATCTATTAAAATAAAATTACAGCTAGTATTTTTTCTTTTAAAATTAAATTTGCCTTCATTCTCTGTCTACTGCTGCACCAACTGTTACATACAAAGAATGCTGTTGGTTATTTCTGATACTCCAATTTTTAATTATCAGAGAGGTCAAACTGATACTTTCTCTCAAACAAAAAGCAACATATGTCTGTACTATAAACAGGTAAAAGACAAAAGGTGAAAACTTAAGTATGCTGCCACTCACTAGAATTTAACTCCTATCTCATTTGTAACTCTACTTGACAAGGAGATCATCTGTGTATGGCACCTGCAGTGTGTCATCTTCTTGATCTATTCTTCAGGATGAAATACAAGCATTTTAAAGAATTATTACATGACAGCAGAGGGATACACACATTTAGAGGCATTGCCAAGGGTGAGTGAAATGCTTTCAAGCCAGAATCTTAGAAAGGAAAAACAAATGTATTAAAAGGTTGTCCTAGCCATATGCTGGTGGCTCACATTTGTAATCTTAAGTACTCGAGAGACTGAGATCTGAGGATTGAAGTTCAAAACTAGCCAAGGCAAGAAAGTCTTGTGACTTTATTTTTTTTTTGTCAGTCATGGTGCTTGAACTCTGGGCCTGAACACTGTCCCTCAGCTCTTCAGTTCAAGGCTAGTGCTCTACCACTTGAGCCACAGCACCACTTCCAGTTTTCTGAGTTGTTTATTGGAGATAATAGTCTCAGGGACTCTCCTGCCCAGGCTGGCTTTGAACCACAATCCTTAGATCTCAGCCTTCTGAGGAGCTAGGATTACAGCCATGAGCCACTGACGCCTAGCTGTCCTGAGACTCTAATCTGCAAGTAACCCCCAAAAAGCCAGGCAGTAGAGCTGTGGCTCAAGTGGTAGAGCATTAGTCTTGAGGAAAAAAGCTCAGGAGCAGGACCTAGACCCTGAGTTTAAGCCCTAGTACTGGCATAAAACAACAACCATAAAACCAACAAAAATGCTAGTCTCTATGAGGAACAGGAAAAAAGGCTGTCCCACAGGCAAAAGTTTATAAAGGATCCAAAATGCATAAATGATAAAAATTAGGATTTATCCCAAATAGAAAATTACCTGAACCCTAGGAAGAGAAGAAAACCCAAGGTTTAGAAATCATTTTTTAAATAAAAGATAATTTCAAAATACCTACATTGAATAATTTTGCCTGAGCCAGCATAGATCCTAAAATAGTCACTATGCAAGTTAACAAATAGATTGTGTCTCAGTATGCACAGATATATCTATCTATCTATGGTGGCTCATCAGAGAATGGGAAGTGATGCGATGGCTCAAGTGGTAGAGTGCTCTCCTTGAGCTGAAGAGCTGAGGGACAGTGCCCAGGCCCAGAGTTCAAACCCCAGGATGGGGGGCCAATTCTAAGGATTAAAAACCATGTATAAACATAACCAAGGGACAAAGGGTAGATGTTATTATGTTATTAGGCATAAAAATTGAGAAGGAATCTAGTGCTAGTGATTCACATTTGTAATCCTTGCTCCTTGGGCAACTGAGATATGAAGAAAAGTTCAAGGATAGCCTGGGCAGAAAACTCTGTTTGATTCCATCTCCAAAAATAACCAGTAAAGGGCGGGGCTGAAGAAGCAAGCTGAGCAAATGTGAAGTCCTGAGTTCAAACACCAATACTGCCAGAAAGAGAGAGAGAGAGAGAGAGAGAGAGAGAATATGTCAAGAGACAGAAAGGGAGATTGAGAGAAAGGGGGGAAAAAAGAGATTGAGGAAGGGTATATACACCATAAATATCCGAGTCATAGAAATCTAAAAGGAGATTAAGGTAGTTATAATTCATTCACTCATTCAAAAAAAAAAAAAAAAGGCCCAAACCTACTACTGTTTTAAATACCAAGCAAAGTAGAGGTATGGCTGAAAGTGGCAGAGCACTAACTTTGAGCAAAATAGCTCAGGGCCAGCACCTAGGCCCTGAGTTCAAGCCCCAAAAACCAACAACAACAAAAAAGAAAAGAAAAGAAAAGAAATACCAGGCAAGATAGACATAAAAATTTCAAAAAGGCTGGGCAATGGTGGCTCACACCTGTAATCCTATCTACTAAGGAGGCTGAGATCTGAGGATCACAGTTAAAAGCTAGCCCGGGAAGGAAAGTCCGTGAGACTCTCATCTCCAATAAACCACCACGAAAACCAGAAATGGCTCTGTGGCTCAAGTGGTAGAGTATTTGTCTTGAGCTGAAGGGCTGCGGGACAGCACGCCCAGGCCTAGAGTTCAGGCCCCACAATGGACAAAGAAAAAAAAAATTTCCAAAAGGAGCCAGGCATCAATGACTCATGCCTGTAATCCTAGCTACTTCGGAGG